GGAGCCTGAAAACCTATTTCCTGAAACGACTTCGTTCGACAGATATGCCGTGAAAACAAGCGAAAAAGCCAATATGCATGGGCTTACCGCGAGCTGACGCCCGCTCTGTGTAGCTACCTTCAGGAAGTCACAACCAATGGTATGTAATGCTATCTACTACTGTAGCTAGCCCGTGTCTGACTCTCCGCGGGCTACGAGCGGAAGACCACCGCATACAAATAGCCGGCCCAGCCCATCAATTTGGCAGTATCGCGCATGCGCAGTTCGCCTAGGGTTTGTTTGGCACAGGATGTGGATACTCTTGTTACAGTACAGCTGATTGTTGAATAATATTAATGTGGGTGTGTGTATTGGGGGAAGAAAAGGAAGATAGTCCTACACAGATTGTGGGAAGTGTGTGCCGACCTCACCGCGTGTGGCTGCCTAGTGGTCAAAGGTGTATGCATCATTAACTGTTGACTCACTTCAACTGTACTTGGGGGGCAATAATGAGCTATTATTGTATTTAGGGCGCCTAAGTCATGGAAGTAACAGGGAACATGGAGAGAGGAACAGTACGTGTATGTTCTACGTATACAAGCAAAAGAGTAGGACATGGATGCCCACTGGGGACGGTTGGTTAAGCACAGGATGTGCATAGTCTTGTGACAGCTTATTATTGTTGAATTATGCATACTATATAAATGTGTGCGTGGGGCTATTTGTTACTAATTTCCAGATTTCAACGCGATTACTTTCAAGACTTCCGTGATTTCAAGATTTCCGCATGATTTCCGGTGACTTGTTTGCGCTGAGAATGCATGCGGAAGCAGTTAATGAGAATTACGGCAGCTAATATTATCGCCGAGTGTAAAGTATGCGTAGAAATGTAAGGGATTATGCATAACGTGCGTAGCGACAACACTACGCAGCGGATTTGAATGGGTAAGCGCTGGAGTGTGAAGCGCTACATGTTGATACCAAGCGTGGCCGCATACTGTGCTGGAATCTGAAATTATTCCAGATACATTCTTGGGCATGGATATGGACCCGTGAGTGATTTTGGTGTGTTTTGAAGGCATAGCTAGCCGGCCATGCTCGCCGAGTTTCGAGGTGTTTTGTATGCGGATCACGTGAGATTTCACCCCTTATTGCTGAGCGCGTTAGCGTGAGGCAACTACTCCCCGGGTTGTATTCTCGTACGTACGTACGTGTCGTCACGCTTAAGAATGTCAATTTGTCACGCTTAGGAATGTCAACTTCCCACATCCTTCCAGTGCATCAACATGTGGAGAAAACGAGGCGGAGCTCTGGACAGCTGTTTGGATAAAAAACAGTTTTCTTCCTACAGAGGAAGTGACAACAACTAGGCAGCTAACCGTGGTGCAGAGCAACACATTGGGCTCGTTCCTATTAACAAGTGGCGAGCAGATCCAGGAATGACAGATCCTCGACAGAGCATCTCTCTGTGCCGCAGTAACTGCCTCGTTTTGGTGTAGGCACACGCAAGGCAGTGTGGGTCGTTCGCTACGCTGAACTCATGCGTACATTACTGAATGTTAAACACATGTCTACCCTAGCGCAAAAACGTGTCTACCCTGACCTCACTCACATGCCAAAATATACCTGGCTCTCCCTCCACTTTTCAGTTAAGCATTGCACAAAGGAGAGCCTGGGGACAAGGCTATTATAATTATTATTTTTATTATTTCAGCTTTACAACACAGGTAGGAGGTGATGCCATAAAGAAGTGTGACAGATAACATGGGAGGTGGTGACAACTGTGTTGAAGGACTGAAGGCATCAAGCCAGCAGCCATAAAAATAAAAATAAAATTACACAGAATAGGACATAACATGGACAACATTTAGATAAAACTAGTGAAATGCATTGAGATGGGAAGCTTAGAGCATTTTTGGCATGGACAGACATAGTGATAGGAGCATACATTATCAGAATCAAAGTGTGAGATGAAATGAATCCAAAAGAAGTTTCGCAGTCTAGACTTGACGGTAGCAATAGGGAGATTGATGTCAAATGATGGTAGAGAATTCCAAAGGCGGGGAATACGATTGAAGTAAAAATTTCTCTCAGACTGGTTTTTACAAAAGGAGTGCCTTAGCTTGAAATGAGAGAATGAGCGTGTAGGGTTGTCACAAAATTTGACATAATTGAGTATATTGAAGTGTTCGGAGGGGAATTTTAGGGACTTGATGAGAAAGATAATATCAGCAATTTCTAACTCCATCATTAGCGGTAAGAGATGTAAATACATCAGACGATTTTTATAATCCATTGCAGTACCCTTCATGACAAATTTTGTTGCTCTTCTTTGAACGAATTCCAGACACTTTATATCCATCAACAAGTGTGGATGCCAAATGACCGAACAATAGAGCAACTGAGAGCGTACAAGGGATGTATACAGGTAGCGTTTAGCGAATACGGACATGGATTTTGAAAAACTCTGCGAAGCAGACCTAGCATTTTGTAAGTGATCAGCTGATAATGCGGTCGCCACCGTAAGTTGGTTGATACAATCAATCCAAGATCCTTTCCTGTGGATTTATTAGAAATTTCTTTGCTATTCATAATGTAGTTACACATTACAGCGGAGTGGCCAGTAGTGAAGTGTAAAACAGAGCATTTCTCTTCATTAACAGACAGATTCCAAGTGTATATAGCACCACTTAGAGAGACTTGTAAGGTCATTCTGGAGAAGTATGCAGTCTTGCAGAGAAAAATTGGCATAAAACACTTGGCATCGTCAGGATTTATGCCACCCCTGTGTAATTCAATGGAGGGAGCCAAATCCATAAGTGGGAGGAGCCTAGAGGGAAACTGCGAATGAACATAATTATTGTGCATTGAGAGCTAGGAGGAGAGGAACCTGGGAACTGTATAGCTAGTCATATTGTAGACTAGTTATCAACATCCCTGAGTGTAGATATCCTCTGCCTCATGATTTTGAGGAGACACTGCAACTGGGGGGCACAGCTGGTAAACACTAACTTGGGCATCACACCCTGAGGCAACCCAGCAGTGGCTTACAACTGCTGACACTCACATCTGTGCTCCATTTCGTGGTGGAGTTCAGCTGCAAACTACGGAACAGTTTGCCTCTCCTGATATGCTGCTAGCCTCACACTCTCCAGTCTCTTCCAGCCTCAATTACCACAACCATATATATAGGTAGCACAATGGAAGGTGGAGGACACTGGCCCTGCAGAACACAGAGCCTCAATTACCACAACCACATATATAGGTCAGCACAATGGAAGGAGGAGGACACTGGGAAAACAATATAGGTGTTCTTACAAAAACAGCATAATTATACTACACATGTAATTTTTGCCTTCTATTAGCAGAAAGTTGTGCTATATAGTGACACCACAAGGAGGTTGAAGGCCCATCCAGGGACATTCTCAATTCATACACATACAGATGACTGCCCCAAAATGTCGTCACTTGCAGGTGGATTTACACTGCACAAACCTATAATTCTGTAGGCCTACATTAATTCATCATCCAGGCAGTGTGAATCCACCTGTGAAGAGTGGATGTCACATATATAATTATATATACCCACCACCAGGTCAATGGACATATTATATACCGTAACATGTCCATTATAATGCACAAGTGATTTTGCTTGAAGCTTACAAGATTATCATAAAAGCTTTTTACCCTTTGAACTAAAATGCGCACGCTTGTTTTGCTGCCAACTCTAAAAGCACATTTTTACCTACTAGTTGGTGGATATGTCCATACATACAAACACTAACTATTGATATCCACTCTTCAAGGCATACACACACAATGCAGTGTCCAACAGAAGAGCAACCAACAGGGGAAAAACACCGCAAGACCTCCAGGTTCACATTTAGCAAGGATAGGAACATATATATATATTCATAGCGGTCACACACAAGCAGCTACCCTTCATGGGATGCTGGTTTGACACTGTAAAACACCTAAACGAGGAGACCTCCTAGCAACAACTCGCTCAGGTTCACTAACCCAAGCGTGGAGATCTCCTATATAGCAACAGCTGGCTCGGGTGCAAACATACCCGAGCATGAAGAATCCCCTAGCAACAACTCACTCTGGCTTGAACATGCAAATGCACAGTATATACACATAACTTTTATGGGGAGTGAGCTACGCAGCATGACCTTTTTGAAATTCCAACACATCAGAGAAACAAATCTAAACAACTCAGTCATGCTCACTGCATTCGCTCACCAGTCATTAGAAAATCACATCAAATAGTATGTGGAAGCATACTGCGGTTTGTAACTCCATGCACAGCGTGAGTGTATGTCCCATCTCTGTCACTACACCTCGTTCCCCACCACTCTCCCCCTCCTTTCTCTTCTTAACCCATACCAAACACACATACACACACACACACACACAGACCAACTGCAATAACGTGCAGGCGAGGGTTAATAATTATAATGGTGAATGTTGAATACTTCATCTAGGCAATGGTAGGTAGGGATGGGGTTACTTGTTCCCCTTCTTTTCATAATGTAACAACCCTACATCCCCTTTCGTGTCAGTATGTACTGGTTATCTGCATTGGGCATTGTCTATTTCGTACACTAGCAGAATCCGAACTGTTAATGATGAGCCAGTTGTTACAGGTTGATGAGTTCTCTCCCAGCAGCAGCAATTGCCATTAAGTATAGGCATAGTTAGTGTTACTGGGTAGCAGTTGGCATGTCGCTTTAGAGTCACCCATAAAATACACTTAGAGTCATAATGATTCTTATACAGAACCTCCAAAGTTATAGTGGCAACCTGTTAAGATAAAATGTTTCTCCTTCCCTGTCATTGGTTTGAGGTTGCACTTTATAGAGTCAGATTAGTCAGTGAACCTTAATTCAAAATTCTACACTACTTGATGAATAGCTAATAGCTACAATACAAAACCAGACTATGAAAAGTTAACATTCAAATAGTAGCTCTAATTGAGCTGCATCTACTATACAGTTTGTAGTTTAGTCAGACTGGAGTTAGAAATGGAGTGCCAGTGTCTCCAGAACAGCCTTCCTGGTAGCTGTGTTGTCCAAAACTGTCCACTGGATTTTTCTGATGCTTTTTGGACTCAGCGAATGACGAAATGCGAACTTTGTTATTGGGATATCGTTGGCCAGTATGAGAAAGGAATTCTGCTGAACGGTTATACGAAGAGACACTGTTGTGGATACTCCATTAGCTGGGAAGGGGAAGCCGGGGGCCGTTTGGTAATGCTGCCACCTTCCACTGAAGAAAGTGTTGAGGTAGAGGAAATTGACATTTCCTCCCCAGTTGTAGCGAGGGTTAACGTGCAGAGAAACGGCGCCAGTGTCTGTCACAAAGTAGACTGCTACCACACCAGAGTTTGGGTTCTTATAGACCACCTCTACACTCTGTCCTATGGCCAGGCCATTCACCGGGATTTCGTAGCGAAGGTAAAACTGGGCCTCAGCCAATTCCTGCATTGATCCGTAATTGGAAGCTGGGACCTCCTGCTCAGAGGTAATTAGCTTGTTCTCTTCCTGCATGGCTCCATAAAGTAATTGCTGGGCCTGATGTTCGGTGGAAACAGGAGAAGATTTAGGTGGATCGACCCCATTCACTTGAGCCCAGTTCCTGGATGATGTCTTCAGCTGGCCAGGTGAAGGCAGGGGTGATTGTTAGAGCAGCCAGGGAGATGGTTAGTAGCAGCATCATTTTTCAACTTTGTTATTCTCAATTCCCAGTGATCGTCTGTGCTGCGTTAGTTTTCTTCCGTTCTTTTATAGTGCTAGAGACGGTGCTCATTAATTAATTCCTGCAGCATAGCTGAAATAACTTCCGGTGATCTACATTTTTAGTTCTTCTGTGTGAGGTAGTGAAATATCAACACATTCCTGTTTTTAGTGTTTTCATGTGTATTACACTTATGACTCAGTATAATATACTGCATTCTCAACTATGACAATGGCTTCACATGATTATGGTGGGAAGATCACAGGAAAACTGTTAGCCATCAAATCTCACGCCATCCGTGTAAAAAACGCTTTAAAACCTCGGCGAGAATTACTTGCTAGGCTTCAATGGCAATTGTCTACAGGCGGATAGCTTTTTAATAATTATCACTAAGTACGGTAGTACTTAGTATATAGGGATTGACATGGTACCTAGCATCATAGATGTATGGGGCTATGATAGGGAGTTTTGTTCATCTTCTTCTCCTTCTTCTCCTTCTTCTTCTTCAGATTCAACACCCATAACTCAAAAATGAAACAACATAAAGTAATGAACTTTGTAAGAATGTAGATATCCATCACCCGAAGAGACTGGTCATACTTATTTCTTTGTAAACAACATTGTTTACTGTAAACAACAACAAATAGCCCCAGGCAATACATTATAAAGGGATCACATGTGTCAGTATAACTAACAAATGGTAAGAGCTATGTGAACGAAAGTTTTAGACATAATGTATTCAATTACCAACATCAAAATCACAGAAATACATGTTTGTAAGCAACAACAACTAGCCTCAGGCACTTTTCTTTAAATTTACTTCTTCACTCCTCAAACTTTCCAACGGTAGCACGCATAGAGATGAAACTTGGTATGTATGCCTATAATATCATTCCCATGACAATTACATGTTTCCATGACGACCACATTTTGTTTGAATAAGCCTCAGGCAATTTTCTTTAAGACCACTTCTTCACTCCTCAACTATAGCACACATGGAGGTGAAAATTGGAGCGCATGTGTATTACATCGTTTCCATGACGACCACAACAACAAATAGCCTCAGGCACTTTTCTTTAAAATTCTTCTTCACTCCTCAAACTCGCTAACTATAGCACGCATGGAGGTGAAACTTGGAGCGCATGTGTATTAAATCGTTTCCATGACGACCACAACAACAAATAGCCTCAGGCACATTTTTCTCTATAATTACTCCTTCACTCCTCAAACTCGCTAACTATAGCACGCATGGAGGTGAAACTTGGAGCGCATGTGTATTAAATCGTTTCCATGACGACCACAACAACAAATAACCTTAGGCACTTTTCTCTAAAATTACTCCTTCACTCCTCAAACTTGCTAACTATAGCACGCATGGAGGTGAAACTTGGAGCGCATGTGTATTACATCATTTCCATGACGACCACAACAACAAATAGCCTTAGGCACTTTTCTCTAAAATTACTCCTTCACTCCTCAAACTTGCTAACTGTAGCACGCATGGAGGTGAAAATTGGAGCGCATGTGTATTACATCGTTTCCATGACGACCACAACAACAAATAGCCTCAGGCACTTTTCTTTAAAATTTCTTCTTCACTCCTCAAACTTGCTAACAGCAGCACACATGGAGATCAAACATGGTATGCACATCATTTCCATGACGACAACAGGCATTTTTTCTCTAGTATTTTAATTTTTATAGGGGCTTGCCCCATTCCACAGAGATAATATGTAGTAGTATATAAAAATGAGTGGAGACAAGTAAATCCTGCGAATTTAAAAAAAGAGGCATATAGGGATCGCATAAAAAGAAAGGGAGACAAGATAGGGATGGGATACATGAAACATGGGTAATGAACAGATTTGAGTACGCTGACACCCCCAACCCCATCACACAATCCCTATATTGTTGCCTAAGTGAAGTATTAAACATTCACCAATACACTACTGAGTAACCAACACCCTTATAGAGTCCAAGTGGAGTTTAAAAGGCAATTTGGCCGTATAAATGTTACTAAAAACAACTGTGAAAGAATGCTTGCTTTTAGTACCTTTAGCCCCTATAAGAGTAGCACACCAGGCAACAATATAGGGATTGTGTGATGGGGTTGGGGGTGTCAGCGTACTCAAATCTGTTCATTACCCATGTTTCATGTATCCCATCCCTATCTTGTCTCCCTTTCTTTTTATACGATCCCTATATGCCTCTTTTTTAAATTCGCAGGATTTTTAATTTACTTGTTATTATGTTGAAGTATGCATGGATAGCTGTACTTAATAACAGAGCTTATACTTTGAAATGGACCCAGTGTTAAGATACGCTACATTAGTTACGAATATAATAATTGATAGAAATCCAGCAGATTTTCATAAGTTTTGTTAACGATTTCTAAGAGCAAATTTCTGCACTTTTTTTAGTTGTCTTTTGCATGAAGGGGATTCCACACTTGTGCTGCATGTGCTGCATACTCGAGGTGTGGCCAAACAAGAGTCACGTAAAGTTTCAAAGTGGTCAAACGGTTACTAGTGTTTGGTGAGATATTTCGGTAGAGGATGCCTAGAATCTTTTTCGCTTTGGTATATACATATATGTTGGATGTGAGATGACCAGCATAAGTTGCTTGATAAAATCACACACAATACTTGTATTGCTGGACACACTCAAGTGGCTAAAATCGATGGCTGAGAATTGTTGGGCAGCAAAATATTTTGCATGTGTTAGTGTTAAAAGGACAACATGTTCTCATCTGACCACTTGGCTATACAGTAGATATCCTGCTGCATTTCGTAATACATATACAGTAATACAAGCTATACATAGCTATATGACTTCTTCTGCATAAATTGTAGCAGAATAGCTGAAATAACTTCCGGTGATCTATACAGTTTTTTAGTTCTTCTGTGTGAGGTAGTGAAATGTCTACACACTCCTGTGTTTAATGTTTTCTATTGTAGCAAACTGCAACAATGCCCTCACGTGATCATGGTGAAAATATCACAGGAAATTGTATCATCTGTCATTAAGAATGGTAAACCAGCTGGTTAAAGTTGCATGTTTACGGTAGTGAGCATTATCTTGTTAGCATTATAGTGAAACCGTGAAGCAACAGACATAGTGGGAGTGAACGTTTGTTTATTGTTCCGAAGTTTTTCCTTTGCCCAGAGGTACATACTGCCATTATGTACATGATCATCAGCATAAACGAAGTGATCAAGAGTAGACTTCCAGTGGGTCTTGTGAATCTCCACTGTGTACAGTATTTCATACGAGTGCAAAAAGTTCAACATGAAGTGGGATAGTTGTGCGGTTGCAGCGGCACTCAGGTCGACCGCCACCGGCTTGATGTTTCCCCCCAATATTAAACACAGACATAAAACTGTGTCGCATGCGTTTTGTTCTCTCGACCGTAAAGCTCATTCAGCAATTCCAGTACTAGCTACACTTTTGATACAAGAACAATAATAATCTGTCTCCCCCACCCACACATTAAACACAGACGCACACACACATAGTACAGACTAAGCATCAAACAGTTAATGGGCATAACTGCACAGGCACGTAGGTGCCTAATGATAGCTACTGAGATGCTGAAAAAGCTTCCTATAAACCTCAAGCATAATTATAACTTGGGACCACAAGCACCTGAAAACTCTTCTTTGTGCATAAAATTGCTAGCTACCGGATAGTTGTATAACAGCCGACAAACCCAATTTTCGCATATTATATAGCTACCTATAGTATTGATTTTGTAGTTCTTCCGTGTGTGGAACAGTAATAATGTTTTCTTATGGCTGTTATGAATACATCTAATGGCGGCTAGCATTAATGCATTTTTATGTTGCTATGCTGAACAATGTTGATGCTCAGAAGCTAAGTTGTAAACTGGGATAAGAGAGGCAGTAGGAGCTTCACTTAACTCACCTTAATTTGTACAACTATGGTAAAAAGCTATGAGGGATATACGGTACTGTGTTCTTGCCATTGAGTGTAACTTTAATGGATATGCCCAGATGTGCTAGAGTTCAAGTCAAAAAACTCATGACTTGGAGAAAATGCATGAAGCATCAGCCTATATACTTAGGATCTTAGCACAGTTACTATCAATAGCTACACATGTGCAGAACTTACCGTCTATCAAGAGTCTGTACATTATACCCATGAAAGGGCTAATGATCATGGGAGACATCCGAGCAAAGAACAACAACAAAAACATTCACTTACACAGGTCCACTGTGAGGTTTCACTGTAATATTATGAAAAGTAATGCTCACTACCGTAAACATGTGTGCCCTTACCCAGCTAGTTACCTTCATCAGAAAATGGCTAACAGCTTTCCTGTGATCTTCCCACTATATAGCTACTATAATCATGTGAAGCCATTAGTTGAGAATGCAGTAAAATAATATTATACTGAGTCATAAGTGTAATACACATGAAAACACTGAAAACAGGAATGTGTTGATATTTCACTACCTCACACAGAAGAACTAATAATGTAGATCACCAGAAGTTATTTGAGCACCGTCTCTAGCACTATAAAAGAACGGAAGAAAACTAACGCAGCACGGACGATCACGGGAATTGAGAATAACAAAGTTGAAAAATGATGCTCCTACTAACCATCTCCCTAGTTGCTCTAACCATCACCCCTGCCTTCACCTGGCCAGCTGAAGACATCATCCAGGAACTGGCTCAAGTGAATGGGGTCGATCCACCTAAATCTACTCCTGTTTCCACCGAACATCAG